ATCATTCATTTATTTGTAAGCCTTTCAAATCCCATTCTACTTACTTTAAAAATATTAATAAATATGCATACATCAGCACTGGAAAAAAGTCCTGAAAGTATAGAGAACAAAAGTACTGAAGGTGAATTTAACCTATCTCCTATAGGGGCTAGACCAGCTACCTAAAGTGAGGCATCTTAGTACCCCTTGGGATGCAGGAGATGGGCAAATATGACTCAAAAATTCCCCATAGGTACCTGTACTTAGGTAGGCATTTATTTGCAAGGAATCTTGAATAGCCACTTGAACAGACACAGTCATGGACAATTGATTCAAACCAAAGGTATAGACAGTAAGTTTAGTGGATGTGAACTTCTCCCTAGGACTCTAGACTTGAGCAACACATGAATTTTCTTATGTATTTCCCTGAGATATATCACAGGAGGAATACATTCTTCAGATTCCAGTTAACACCTGACATGTTACCAAGAAACAGTGCTTCAAAAAACAAAATACAATTCTTAGTAGGTACAGTCTTCAAGGAAAAAGACATAAAAATGCATTAAATTTTATGCGCCACAATTGAAAGCAGTCATAATATATATATATATATATGTACATACACAGACACCTGTTTTCTTGGGTGTGGAACTAGTTTTCTCAGACCGGACTTCTAGTTGTAACATCCCAGAGTAATTCCACTGCATTTACCATACCAGAGACTTATATGGTGATATAAAGCCAAATTATTTATTTCTGTGTTGTTTTTCTTCATTTTGTACTTCTGGGTGAGATAAATCCTACCCACAAGGAAAACAGTGGCATTTATCAAGTGTTTGTCTAACAAGAAAAGACCTCTATACAGAAAAAAAAAAAATCCCTTTGCCTTGCTACCCTTGTTGGCTTGGCTACACTGTACTTCTTTAAGTAGGGGCCACTTGTGAACTGAGCTGTTAGGAGGAAGAAATGTTGGGGCTGCTGGCATTCTTTTGCTTTTAATTCCCACTGCACAGGTCAGTTTCATTTATTTCAGTATGAGCACTTAAAAAAAATATGGAGATTGAAGGAAATACTTTGGTAAGAGTGTCACAGGAGTGGTTACTTCTATTTGCTGGTTATGAGAGATAAGTACAGAATTGGCCTTTGGCTTCCTGAAAATTTCAGCCTTGAAACACATTTTGAAAGAGATATATACAGACAAAGATGAAACTGTTTATGCATGAACAGTGAATTTATTTTAAAATATAATTTTTTAGAGAGATCAATACTATTACATACTGAAATTATCAGTCAGGCAAAACTAACACACAGTTTTCATACCTGGTTGAATACCATCTCAGAAAAAAATAGTATTACATCAGAAGGGACAAATCTAGAGGGACAAATCAAGAAAAATCAATTTTCTCACATTTAAAAATAAGTTATAATACTTCTATAAAACATTTTAGACTGCCATAACATTACTTTTTAATTATTAATCTATAATTTGCTAACTTACAAGGCACATTAAACTTCAGGCAGCTAAACAACATCACAAAACAATCAGTCTGTTCTTACTTATTTCCTAACAAAAGAATTCTGAATTTTAACACTTTGATGTTTACTTAAAATAAGGTATTTAAAGCCATAAAATATACATCTATGTGAGATTAACAGTAGAGGATTTTAAAGTATGCTTAAACGTATAGGTTATTGGACATCACCAAAACTATTTGAATGAGCTTCAAAAAAAAAAAGTATTTCTATTGTTTCTACTACATGAAAAATAGACATATAAAGAAACATCAGCTAAAATGATCACTGAAGTGCTTGAAAATATGACAGGACATGAGCGTGTAGATGACCATTCTAGAAGAACTTATTTCAGTTTTTCTTTGTCCACTTAATTTCAAGTGTACTTTATCCCATTAATATTTGTCACCAGTTGTGTTCTTCATGGAGTAGAAATATTTTTCTTCCTCTTTTGGATTTGAATGACTGCTATGTGCAAACTACCTGTTGAAGGTAAATGGGCCTCTCTCAAAGTTACTAAGTTTTATTTTCACTACAACTTGGAGAAAGACAAAGCAGACTACAAATTCTTATGTCGGCACATAGAAGTGCCCAGTGATTCTGCCTCCTTCCTATTATGGCTTATATGTAGGTCAAACTCAACTGTATTTCTACAGTTTTGAACAAAAACTAAACCTCATTTCAAACATAACAACAAAATGGAAGAATTGATTGTATGTGTTTTTGTTGGTTTTCTATTCTATAAATTCAAATCACAGAATAGTATCACATCTTAGAAAGTTGGCAGAATTAACTAGGAGAAGAATTTTAATTCTTGAGTTCCATTCATTATCTTGATTTTATTCTTTTTCATGTAGTAGGTGGTGAGTGAGTGAGTGAGTGAGTAAGTGAGTGAGTGAGTGAGTGAGTGAGGGAGTGAGGGAGTGAGGGAGTGAGGGAGTGAGTGAGGGAGTGAGTTTGGACTGTAGTTTCTTACACTATTTTTGGTTATCAGTGGATTTTTAGAAGACTTTCCAGGTTGGCTTTCATTTTTATGACTAACAGTAAGGGAATCAAGATTATTTCAGCAGCACAATGGATGACCTGTATTAACCCTTCTGGTTCACTCCTGCAATAGTCAGGAAGTGTTTTCTGATCTTTATTGTTGCTTCACACACCCAGTCATTCACTCATGTAATCTAATTCTGAATTCTATAACTAATTCTGAATCTAATTCTGAATTCTATTGCTGTTGTGTAGAGTCTAAGAAAGAGCAGATATTCCTTGCTGGTAGGGGAACCAGCATTCACTCTTAAAACAGAAGGGTAAAACCCATAAAGCAGTAGTACACATTTCAAGCATTTTCATGAGCGAATGAATAACTTTGTGATCCTAGCAGAAAAGGTAAAAAAATATCATAAAATCTGGCTCTGCAGAAGATACCAAATATGGCAGTCCTAGCTTAAAAAAAAAAATCACTGCTGTAGGCACATTAATGCATTAATGTGCCTACAGCATTTAATTAATTAATTATTAATTAAATTAATTAATTAAATTAATAATTAATTAAATTAATTAAAAGCATTAATGTTTACCCAAAACAAAGAAACAGCACCATGCTATTCTTTTTCTCCATGTGACTCACTCTTCTGAGTTCTGTCTCAAACGTGCCTGCAGGTGGAATACTTCCAGCTGTAATCTGGACAAATCTCTCTAGCCACTTGGAATCAACTTTTACATAGGAGGCTTCAAAGAAAACTGCTGTTGCAGAAAGAGGTGATGATTTCCTTTGCTATGAATCTATTCCTAGCTTGTGCTGCAGTAGAATATCAGGATATGACAGACCAGCGTAATTTTTTTTTAGTATGAAATCGGAGTCATCTGATAAAACATATTCCAGAATAAAGAAAAAAACCCAAAACAACAAAACAATCCTACAATTTACAATATATATATCTATGATCAACCATGATATATCACTGCACAGACCAGAAAAAAATTCATAGGTAAGAAAACAGTACTGATTGAAGGTCTGTTTCAACAGATAGGTTAGCACAGGAAGTATGGGCAGCTTTGGGGACTGAGAACTTAATTTTTCCAGTTCAGAATTGCATTAAATTAGACTAGCTGTGTTTCCTTGTCACACCATGACCTTGTCACAAAACATTGTGTGTTTTCATGGAGGTGTAAGAAGGTCTAAAACAAGAATGCATTCATAGTGCTATCAGACCAAGCAACCTACCCACACCTTGCAGTAATGAGATCTCTGTGACTATTTGGAAGGTTGTTACTGTCTTCCCATTAACAAATTCTGAAGCAATTTTCAGGTTTTGTACCTAAGAGTCCCAAGAACCATGAAGAGTTTTAGTGCTGAAATAGCCTGACTGGGCAGAGCACAGCAGTAGCTTCTTAAATTAATTAAACCTTAGCTCAAGAAATGGCACAATGTCATCAGTTTCTTGGTTTCCAGGAACAGGAGATAAGCTGTATGTATGACAAAATAGACAATGTTCTGATAAAGTCACAAGAATCAATGTGAGACTAAGTCAGAGCCTGGCCTGAGCAGGATTTTTAAATAAGTTTAATTGAAAGAAAACTATATAGAAATGCCAAAATAAACAAACACCAACCAACAAGAAACTACACATATTAATAAAACCAGCTCAGTACGTCTGAAACAGTATATTTTTGTCTTTAAAATTCCACAAGAGCATAACAATAATAAAATGTAGTGGTCCATCTAATGTAAATACTCCATTTATAGAATGTGGTTAGTTTACAGTAGCCTCTGATATATGATTTCATAAAAATTTCAGATTCACCCATCATAAATGTGGGATTTTTTACACATTTCACTAACAACTAGAAGAGGTACAGACTGAACTTTTTGAACAGAGACTTACAGGATCCTAGAGTAAAGCATGGTCATTGACATTGCAGAAAAAGTAGAACAAAAACAGTTCAACAACAAAGACATGAGTAAACGTTTGTCTTTACATGAGACTTGTTTTTATGCAAGGACTAATGAATGATAGGCTGGAACACAAGAGATGAAGTCTCCAGCTGGCAGTCTTCCCAGGTAGGCAAGAAAGTCTGTTATTAATTAATTACTTCTTCTGCAGCATTATGCAACAACCTGTCATACTTTCCTGAGTAAAATTTTAACTGGCAAGTTAAAGATCTTTATATGACTAAACCCAGTCATTTGTTGTTTTCTTTTAGCAATCATTCAAAGGCCAAGGATAAACATTTTACCTGTTCATGACTAATTATCTTTTCAACTTTGTGAGCCTGTTTTGACAGAATCTCTAGTTATATTACTAGAATACGCATCACAGGTTTCAGTAGGAAAATCTGTATCACAACTGTTCATTCTATAAACTTTTAGACATGCAAAAAAATTTATTATTTCTTTTTAAATAAAAGAGAGTCTAATTCCACTCCTTTTGCTGGCACGGGAAGTGGACAAATTGTGGCATTTAAATATATGTATCTGATTGTAACATTAAAGACTGTCACTCCTGAAACATTAAGACAACCTGCTTGCGTATGTTCCCCTCTGCAGGTGATTGGCAACAATTACAGAAAAAAAAAATCTTAGGATTTACACTGCAGTGAGGATAGAAGAATGGAAAATACGAGTACTGCTCAACTCAACAACAAAATTAAGATCAAACATCTAGCTTTCTTAGGATATTCCTTATATTCTTAGAGATGGCATCTAGTAGGATACTCTGTAAGGATTTTTTCAATATAGTCATGAAAATATGAAGTTATAAAATAGTTTCTCAAAATCTGGTGACAGTGATTTTCTGCATCTCATGCGAGTGATGAGAGGTCATCAGCAAGTTACTTTGAGTGTTACATGTATAAGCAAGCTAAAAATGTTTGTGCTAACACAGCTAGATATATGTAGAAGCTTGAGAGGGACTTGGACTACACTCTACTCCCAGGGACATTAAGACAGACTGGACTCATTGAGCCAATGTCATCAATCAATCATCATCATATCTTAATCTGCTCTGTAGAAAAAATGGATCTTCAGCAAGAAAAAGAAAAAAAAAAAAAGCAAACACAGACAGTATGTCAGTGAGAGAAAGAAGTGATCTAAACTCTTAGGACCTTGCCAGTGCAGGAAGAAATCCACATCCTTCCATTGAAAACAGCTAAGGAAAACAGAACAAAATCATTCTCCCAGGAAGGATGAAAGTTAAGAGGAAAATGGAAAAGGCATTTTAAAAAATTTTTGTTGTCTCTAGTTCTTCACTATATTAGTGGAGCTAGTGGTACTACTAATCTATATCAATATATTTAACTAATACATAGAGCGGCTAGTCAAAGCTTTCTTCAAGGAATAATGGAGCACTGGGGCGGTCTCTGCAGCCCCTGGAGGCTGGGGATGAGTCACATCCTCAACCTGCTCTTGCCTTGAGTTCAGATGGCAGGATGAGTTAGTGAGACAGACCACACTGAATAGTACTGGGTTTTTTTTTCCCCGAGGGTAGTCAGTGATAATTTTGCTAATACTCTGGTTATAAAGATTCATGAATCTCGTATTTGCACTATTATGTCTAAAAAGTGAGACTTTGAAATTGGTCAAGTTACTGTGCTTCCGTACCCACTATTTTTCATCCCCACTACCTGACTGGCTGGTGTGCTCAGCTGAACAATATTCCATTCATTCAGAAAGGAGGAACAGAAAAGAAAAAGCATAACAGAGTGGGGATGAAGTGTTGAGTTCCCATATGCTAGACACTTGTTCTAGCTTCAGTCTTTTCTACCAATCCTGATTTCTACCTCTCAGAAAAATTTGCCAGTAGCTCTTCAATCAGACATTCTCACCAACATCCGGTAAACATGCTGCACCTGTACCCAGTGACTCAGATGACTGTTTCCAATCTCAGGGATCTGAGTTACTGCTTTTCCTTCCCGCCGCACTACATCCTCCTCCTTAAGCTAGCATCTTCTGACTCATCTTGCTCCACTACTGCATTGATGTGACTCCACCGCTGGGTGGCCCCAGAGAGGTGCAGTCCAGCTCCTGAATGCTCTTGTTGCAGACTGAAACCGACTTCAAGTTCCGAGTGTCCCAATCTCCTCTTCTTTTGCCTTTGACCTCACCGTGAGAGGCAGACACTGGTTTGCTTGCCCTTAAAGCTCCCCCACTGCACCACAATTAGCTGTGGCTGCCAGGAGAAACTGGAGCTGACATGAGAAAAAAAAAGCTGGGCAATCAGCTTAGACGATAGAATGGCCCTATGAACATAATTGGTTAAGGCTATGAAGAGTTTTTCGCAATAAATGTCTTGCAACAATTTATTTCCTTGAACAAAGACCAAAAGTCAATGAAGCATATCAAACAGAAACTTTAAATGTTTAGTATAGCTTATAGACCAAGAGAATTGTATCGCTCTTGAACTCCTTTGCCATTGCTCTCTTCCTTCCAGACCCTCAATTATGCAGCACAGGCTGTGACAGCTGAGACACTTTACTGGTGTCTGCAGAGGCTCAGCACTTTCACCTGGGTTTCATGTCCCACATTTGTTCTGACAGTCTGCATCTTTCTTCTGTTATGTACATTATATGAAGAACCCTGGCAGGACTCTGTAAATTCTTTGGGACCCCTCTTGAGGGCAGATGATAGAATGATAGCAAGGAAAACCAAAAAAGGCAAAAGTCCATCACAGTCCTTGCAGTTCACAAAGAGCTTTTTCACAGATTTAAAACACCTACAAAATCTGCTTTGTAGTACACAGTTTCAAGAGCAGGCTCAGGATTCTTTTTTTTTTTTTTTTTATATTGACCTTCTGCTGGAGATCTCACATGTGATTCTTTGTGAAGACAAAGGTGCTCAGTGTGTATTTGAAGGGACGTTAGACGACTTTTTTTGTTGTTGTGATATTCCCTTAACTGTTTTTCTAGGAAAGAGAGCCCATACCTTGTTCATATAGATGTTTATTAGGTGAAATGTGCAACTCAGGCTGTTTTTCAGATGAATACAAAGTCCAGGAGATACCAGGATAAGAGGTGACCATTTGGAAGCATTTTCTCCTGTGATTTATGCACTGAACTTTTAACTATTGAACACAATGTGAACAATGGAGAATATTCTTGTAAGGATAGGTTACCTTTTAATATTCTTATTTTTGTTCTTCTCTTGTGTCCAGGTATAGTTGTATATACCATATATAGATATATATATGTTGTATGTACCATATGTATATAACACATACCATTGTACAGTGAAGAAGGCTGCTGCCCACCTTGCTGTGGTGACTTCGAACTGGTAGACAGCAAAACACTGGAAAGCAATTCACAATACAGCAGTACCCAGTTTTGTACCCAGACTTGTTGGTATCATTTTGTGCATCTGTGTTCCTCAAAACTGATGTTTTTCATCATCATCTTGTAGGATGTTTCTCACTGGAACTGCATTTACGACATGACTTCTTTCACCAAATACCTCTGCAGTATTCCTCATCTGAATGAATATTGGAAATATTCTATACATCATCGGCACCTAATCAATCTAATTCCAGTGGTTTAAATAGTGTTTCATCACAAGTTTGAATTTATTGCAAAGTGGAATATAGTCCAGAAGTACACTGGCAAAAAGGACTTCTTCTGTCTTCTTTTCCATCTTCTCAGGCTACAGAGAACTAAAATAAGCAGAGAGCATTTACAACAGAAATTTTCCACTTTTGAAGTGGTTCAACAATTTCAAACTACGCCAAAGGGAATAAATAGCACTCAGTGAGTAAATTACCTGAAATGGACACAACAAAGCAATTTTTTGGCATTGCTGCATACAGGATGCTCTTTATAACCCACCGCTGTGAAGAACAAAGTCTTTACACAAAAGTGCATGAAAATGCTGTTATTTGTTGTCAGTATGGTCACATGGCTAAGAGAATAGACTGAGCCTTAAAATAGTTCCTTCACATTTTTGAAAATAAACAGCTCTAGAGCTGTTAATCATTTAAGACTTACTTCTAGAAAGGAAATTAATTGTGAAAAGGACTAATTTTTAAGCCATAATTCTTTAGTGGATTTTTTTTTTTGTGTTAGATACTCCTGAAGACCTCATGATCACCCTGTAACTTTGACAGAGTTCTATGGAATCCACTTGGGATTTATTCATTGCACCTTCAGTAACAAAGAGGAACACAAAATCATGTGAAGATTAAAAAGTTCAAAATAAGACAGTCACCCCCTTAAAGCTTTGCCTAAAACTGAGACAACTAACATTGCTAGGAGTGGCAAAGGAAAGGAAATCCAAGACGAAAAGGATAACTTAGTCAATTACAGTTCCTTTAGTAATGGTACAGTGCAACATCAACCAAAATACAGTTACTTGTGCATAATACAAAAATATAACCCTCCATAAAGTTTATACTGTGATAGGAATTATGTATTAAGTTTAAAGAGTGGTGTACAACATTTTCTCTTAAATAATATGGTCAGGTACACTAAGCCAAATGGCTATACTAACATGTTCTCTTTGAAGACAAACACATAAAGAGCAGTTTTATAGTTCAGTGTATCAATATATCATACCTCAGCCTGGATTTCAGAGCAAACTAAGTCTTTCAAGTTTTCCCTTTGCTACTGTTCTCTATCCATAGCACAGCAGTTCTATAACCAGATGGTGAATTGAATTTTTGATAGTGGCATTTATTAGCAGATACAGAAAAGTATTGTTCAGAACCAGCTTAAGGCACCCTAGTTTCCACAACAGACCCAAGCCATTACTGGCAAAAATCAATTTTAAAGGCAGCTATGAGTGTTTAGCTACAGTACCAAGACAATCTATTGTTGACAACATACTCTGTTGACCAGTGTGGCTTCTGTTTATTCTCTAAAAGGATTAGTAAAATATATGATTTTAATGCTACTACAGACTGAAGAAAGCATAAACTCTTAGCAATAAAAAATTCTCCTTTCATATCTCATTTTTAAAATCCCAATCATCAATCTTGGAAAGAAAATTCTTTTGCAGACTTTTTAGAAATTTGAAATGAAACAGTTTCCAACAAGTTACATAATAAAAAGCTCACTAAATTATTTCTCTTCTCCTTTAAAAGAAAGTATATCATCCCATGTCCCTCCCAAACATCCTGTATCTGCCTCTGCTATCAACAGCACTGGCAAACAATTCATTTAAGCAAAATCAAGTTTTCTCCTGAAGTCTTAAAGAGAAAACATGAGCCCTTGATTTCCTCAAGATCTCTTCCCTAGTAACAGTCCATGATACTGAGTAGAATTTAAAGCAATATGAAGTGAAACTATCATCTTGACAGCATCTGCCACAAAGACCCAAACCGCTACCTTGCTAAAACTCTCTTAAATTCTACAGTGAAAAGTAATATTAGAATAGGACAGGACGAGGAGCAAATTCATCAAATTTCACTACAGAAATTGTGCGTTCGATATTAAACATCATAGTTAAGAGAGAATCACAGCTGAGACACATTTAAAGAAGTACTTTGTATTTCAGAATATGTCCCAGACATATTCTCAAAGCTGACACATTTTTCACCGAACAGGGTGATGTCAAAAAATAATGAATGTGACAGTCACTGTAACTAACCTGCTTCCATTAACCAAGGGATAGAAAAATTTATCAGAGAAAAAGAAGAGTAGATAATGAATCACACATTACATACTTTGTAAATCATTTTTCAAATTACCATCAACTCTCACAGTACTCCTTCCACTTATCTATCAGAGAATATTTAGGGTTGTAAGGGACCTTCAGAGATTATCTTGTCCAACCCTCACTTGTATCCCCAAATGTATCCCCACATTTCAGAGTAGGACTATTTGCAACTACTTGTAAAAAAAAAAGCAATATTCACTCTAGTGTTGATATATTATGCAATAAATCCCCAAATGCTTTTATTTGTGTATTCATCTACTTGGTCTGCCAAAACCTTTGCTCTTACCTGCAAATAGTGCAGAGTGTTGATGAGATTTTTCTATGCCTTACAATAATGCCAACCTCGAAGTCAGACTTTTTATTGCCAGTACAGTGAATAAACTCAAGACTTTCCAATGAAAAACACCAGCAACATGTAAAATGCAAATTAGTGTCTCACTACCCATTTTCCTTTAAGGTTCAAGGAGCAGAAGTCTTGTTTTCTGCATCTTTTGCACCTGAACCTTAAAGTTCATCAGCTTTCACATTTTTGTTCATTTTTTGAAATTAAGTGAAACACCTCTTCAGAATTAGACTACACAAATCATGTGTTATCATATGTTCATTCAAGTGTGAAAAAGTATAGCTCAGATTCTAGCAACACAATGAGCAACAGCGATTTCTTCCATTTCAAATAAACTTAAAATAAATAATTTCAATTAAATTAACAGCTTCAACCACAACAGCTGTGTAGTATATAAAAACAAAAAACTACAGAAAATTAATCTTGCTATTGTTATCTAATCATATCTAACAACAGGAATTTTCTGAGTCAATCAATACCAACATTTTCTAAGCTAAAACCCAGATCTAAGAATGATACAAAAAATGATAAAAGAAGCTGTAAAAACATTATGTTAAAAACAGACATTCTTCATTGAATGAGCTAACTAGACCTCTGCGTTACAATTAACTTTGGTCATATTCTCAATGTGCTCAGATGTCCAAAGGCCTGGTAACTTCATGATACATAGTTTATCTATAACAATGTAGTGCACCCTTCTAGTTCTTTTGTACAACTCATCTAATGATGGCTTAACCAAAGGAAACTGGAATCATCTTGTATGGTGGTTCTGATCTCAGGCACGTAACAGACCTATGACACAAAAGGATCTATGAGAGCAGTGCAAATACAAAAGCTCAGTGACTGGGGAGAAAATAAGAAAAAGAAATTATAGAAAAAAAAAAAAGAAAATTAAAAAGGCTGTATGGGTTTTCTCAGCGGCTGTTTACTATTTTGCCTTCTGGCTGATGAAAAAAGTTATCTTCTTTGAGTTTAAGATGTTCTGGTAGATCTAGCTGTCTTTTTGCTTCTTCAATGTCTTCCTGAATTGCCAAAATGAGTGCATCTGAAAAGGTAGAATAGGGATATTTAAAAGTTTGTATTCTGAACACAGTAACAAGTGAAAATAAGGCACCACAAATTATCAAACAACATTCACAGAAGCAGATTAAAACTATGAGGTTTGAAAGGAAGAATTCTTTTGCTTTCAAAATGTCCTTTTTTTAACATGCTAAAGTTACATTTCTACCCATTACCAGCACTATCCTCTTTGTTTGCCAAAACACACATTAGCAGTTCTGTTTCAATGCTAACAAAATTGCATTTTAAGAAGAAATTAGTACACTTGACTTTTATGACAAGCCCATGTTTTTATCATTACTCCTCAGACAAGTGAAAGAAAAGTGAAGATTTTAATGTGATACATAAGAAGGTGTGGGGATATGTTGTTTTTTTTTTGAATTATTCATTTTACTGAAATTTCAAAGGTTAACCAATAAAACATCTCATGATAGAAGGAGGTACAGTGAAGACACAGAACTTGCACGAGTAAAAATAAACTAGTTTGAGGGAGACCTCCAATACTGACCTATGGAATCAAAGTTTTTTTCCGGTCGAATGTATCCAGTTATGACTATACTAAGAATTTCTCCATAAAAGTCTTCTTTGAAGGTGTGGATAATGTGTGTTTCCTAAAGGAAGATAAGTAAGTGGACAATTATTATTAACTTAATTTACTTCCCTCTCTGTAAGCATTTAGGCCTATTATCCAACATTCAAATTCTCAACAGATAAAAAATAAAAAGGATATTTAGTATAGCACGTATAGTCCAAAATTAAAAGACCACAGCTTTAGTTTGTATTAGGAAGTAGAATTGCACTCAGCATGGAACTAAAAAAATTGCTCCCTTAAAGAGTAAAAATTGTGTAAAGAGAAAAAGAAAAACATGAAAAACCAAACCAGTCAACAAAAAAAACAACAAAAAAAACCCGAAAAACAAACCAAAACAAAACCAAACAAACAAAAAGCCTCCAAATCAATTAAAAAGACCAAACAAACTAATTAAAAAAAAAAAACAACAAACCAACCACAGCCCCAGACATCAGGACAAATGCTTCAAACCTTCTCAGAGGTAAGATTTCCAAAGCAGGAAATGTGAATGTTTCATCAACATTCAAATAACTATGAAGATTTTCACAGAAGTAATTGGCTCAAGGAGAGCTTTCACAACTACCTCCTAAGGGAACTGAATGAGAAAATTGAAGAGCAAGTGCAGACTAAACCCCGGTTCCACCTGCCACTCAAAACCTTTTCATGCACATCTTCATCTCCAAATTAGGTCAACTCATAGCATCTACCAGAAGCTGTAATTTGGGAATCTTTTAACTACTTGCTCATAAAAGTTATCTGCAAAAAAATTTTAAACTATGTGTTTACCTATGACAAACACTTAGAAGTCAAGATTCATGTACAAATAAAATTGTTTTCAACAAATAAAAGAGAGCACTGCAAGTCTCAGGAAAAGCCCCAGCACCTGAAGCAAAAAAACCCACAGCTGTCAGGTGCTCAGGATTTTAACTTCTCCATCTTTACATCCTTTTATGCCTTCAAATATTTATTCTGTACATTAAGATGAAGCATCCTCTATATGGATTCCGTCATTTAAGAGAAGAATTAATTAAAAAATAGTTACAAATTAAGCTGCCCCAACATCTCCTGTCTGAAATGCAGATACGTTGCAGAGAACAACAGATTATTACTATGTTCCATCTTATGCTAGGGCTCTCATAACCAGTAAATTCAATGCATTTACCAAGTTTATGCTCTATTTGCTATCAGCAAGTTAAGCAATCATCATTTCAAGTACTGTTATATTTTAATTTTGGATGCAGTCACAAAATGGTGGAATAGAAGAAAGAAAAACTTTATTCCATTTCATCTGCATACTCTCTGGTAACAGAGACTATAATCCTTTCAGAACATAAATCTTATATAGATAACAAATGCATTTCTCATTCAAATAAATTCAAATAATAATTCAATATAAATAATAATAATTCAAATTCAATAAAATTCTGTCTTTTGTTACAAAAAAAATCCCACAAAAAGCAAAATTCTTACCACTGACTTCTTAATATTCTTATAGAAGGGATTCCATCCTATGCTCAAAACCATTTTATGCACATCTCCATTTCCAACACAGGCCCATCCATAGTATATACCAGTAGGGATATCAGATGGAAAGCTTTCAACTACTTGCTCAGAAAAGTTAGCTGTAAAAATTGTATAAAGTGTAAGTGATTTTGTGTAAGCCAAGTATATAACAGGATCTTCAAATACTTAAAAGCCAAACTCTGCCTACATACTATTTACAAACATAACACTGGTGATGATAAGAATAGTGCAACATACCATTGGCAAAACATAATACAGCTACATAAATCAGTCACTGAGGCAATACCAGAGTTATTACATCTCTTACATACACACACAGTGTATTGTATAGTTTTCTTTCTCTTCAATAACAATTAATAAATACATAATATATACAGCCAGAACACATTTCATTCTTAGGACAATTACCATCATAGCTTTACTATGATGAAAAATGAGAGAGAAAAAAAATCAACTTTCTTCTGCACTGTAAAATAGCATGAGAACTATTTATTACTGAAATATTTACTGGTGAAATAAACAATGTAAAAGCAAATGTGATAATTGTTTAGTCATCTGTCGGTTTTGCACAAGTTCCCTCTCAGAGGCATTTGTGCCTCTGAAAAATCCCTGTAGATTTGAGATTGCCTTTGAAAACTACATATTTAGAGTAAAACAAAATCCTTTTGACTGAATTTAACCTCCTCTCAATATTATTATCCTACCTCTATTTCCCAGCAGAACAGATCTCTTCATGCAAGATATCAAACCGATTTCAAAGAATTTACGGTTACAAATTTTTATCTAAGCTCACAGACAGTAACAGCTTCCTTTCCCTGTTCCCTAATACCAACACATCAGTTATAAACAATCAAGAAAAAAATGTGAAAAGTTCTCAGAAACAGATGTCAGAAATCCAGCACCACAAGAGTCGTCTAATGAAGTTTCATGTCTGTTAGATGTAGTGCAATATGATTACTGACTTCAGTCTGATTAAGTAAGGTCAAAATTCTCTTGCAGTGGTATTCATTTGCCTGAATTTAGACAACTGAAACAGAGGTGGGCAACAGGAAAACATATTCCCTGTAGGCCAAGCCCACCTGCTCTGTTTCAAACTCTGCTTTACTTCCCTTAAACTTTCTTCCCTGTAGCGATTCCCAATGCCTACTCCCTTTCTCAGTCCTATCGTAGGTTTTTGCGAAGGGGTATTTCCCAGGCTGCCACACCACCGCACCGAGAATGTGACACTGATCTACATCCTGTACATCGTGACGATCACTAGATGAGAAAAGAAACATCAATATTCAGGGAAACCTCTTTACATTGGGGTGCAGGAAAAAATATAAGGGAAAGTGCAAGACTCTGAGCAATGTTGGGGGGGGTGGGGGGGGGAAGCGTCAGGAAAGCGCTGGTAGGTGACAAGGCAGGGTCGTTCCCGGAAAGCACAAGTCATGACAATAGCGCAGCTGTGTGGGGCAACCGGGCGGCCGCCGAGGTCAGGCGAGCTTAGTCACAGCGCTGCGGCACCGCTGCTCGGCAGGAGCACGGCACGGCTCCGCTCGAGGAGCGCGACAGCGACCGGCTGCGGAGCCCCGGCCCAGCGTCTCGCCGGCGGGAGCGCCGCCGGGACTCGGCGTGGACCGCCAGCCCCACGGTTGGGCCCAGCCCCACGGACAACCCGCCCGTGCTGTTCCGGGAAGGTGTGCCCTCCGCGCCCGCTCACCGGTGGGGATGCCCAGCTCCTTGGAGCCCCTGCCGAAGCCCTTCACCACCTCCCCGCGGCAGAAGTACGGCAGCTGCCTCATGGCCCCGCGCTGAGGCGCCGGCGCCCCGGGTCCGCTGCGCCGCTCACCACCGCCTCCCGCGCGAGGCGCTACCAACGACAGGGGAGGAACTGGGCGGCACGCTCGGGCCTGCGATACACACAACGCTTCGGCGGCTCCTCCCCACCCTCCAGAATGGACGTGCCCGCGCCGCACGCCCAGTGTGCCCGCCCTTGCCGGGGGACGGCGATCCCCGGGGAGCGGGGCGGAGCGGGCTGGTGATCCCGGCCGCAGCGGGACGGCGATCCCCGGGGAGCGGGGCGGAGCGGGCTGGTAATGCCAGCCGTAGTGGAGGTGCGGCGGAGGGCGGGTGCCGTGCGCTGCGAGCCGCTGTCACTCGTCACGGCCATCGCCGTGCCCTTTGCTTCTGTCCACGGGTTTCGTCACTCTGGGCTTTGCGAGGGCAGCTGGGTCTGTCCCGTCGTGCAGTTTCTTCCATGGAAACCGCAGTGACTCTTGTGCACCAGCTGCCGCGTCCCGACCCTCTAACCCGAAATGCTGCACCTCGCACCCCGCGCCCACGCGTGGAGATAGATAGGGATTTCTGCTCCCTCGGTAGCGCCGAGGTTTGCCTTTTCGCCCAGAAAAGGCCAAACGCTTTAGTGCACAGCAGACATTCAGGAAAGCCGCGGGAACAGGTCTTTTTGTGACATGCTCCAGCGAGCTACAGTCGCTTAAAACAAAAACAATAATCCGAACAACCAAAGCCCTAACCAAACTGCAAACCAAACTGAAACCAAACAAAAGTCACAAACCATTTTTGCTCACGTCTGCTTTACCAACGTGCTCACGTCTCCCGCTGTTATCCCCGCTAGTGCAGAGATCTTAGGGGAAAAAAGACAGCAGCGCTCATTCTGTGATCGCTCAAAGGAAACTGGAGGGTAACTGAGCATTTCTCTTCTTTCACTTCTGTCTCCAGCTTCATGTTGATAAAGCTTATTACTGTATTTAGATAATTAGCACTCTTTTCTATTGCCCTGCCTGATCCAACTTAAATAAATCTGAGATTGCATGAGTTCAAAATAGTATAATTGTGAAAGATGTCCATAATCTTGGTAAATTACAGAACAGCCAGCCCACCAGCAGACAGTCTCTTTGTATCAGTGATACTATAGGCCATTTTCGTTCTGGGGTCTCATTCAGCACTGATGTGCTGCACATAAGCATATTTGTAATTAAACACATAACTGTTTTCCAGAAACACCATCCAAAAAATCCCTGAAGTGAATTGGCACTTTCTTTTCTTTCTCCCCTTCTAGAAAACAGTTTCTAATTTCAAGAGGTTGAGATATGTCATAAAAATATTTCAGGACTTACCTATAATTCGGTTTGCTATTTTTTAATGTTGAAAAGCAATGTAAACATCTATGGCTTGTGCTTGTATTTAGATGTATTTCAATAAAATAACTTTTTAAAATGGGAATTGTTCTGAGAAACTGACATATATCATATTATAAAGCACTGATTGTTCATGGAAACTGTGGACACAAGCTGTTTTATATAAGGCAAAAAAAAAACTGTAAGTGATTTTGCCTCAAACTTATCCTCCTCTTTCTTTGTTTCATTTCTCTTAATTCCCTGACATCCTTTTCATGATAACATTTAAATTCATTACTTCAGTTTGAGTAGCTTTGACTGTGATAGAGAATGACCGTATGTGTAGCTGGAACTTGCAACAGAGTATATATGTGTATGTGTGTGTATATATATATAGTATATATGTAAGAAGGAAAAATGGAAGAGAAAGATATCCTAAGTATGCTACTAGCAGGTCAATTCTGTTCTGCTGCCTCTGTGTGTGTACCGAATAATGTTACAAAGAGTATTTAAAGTGATATTTCATAATGGAAGTGTCTTGGATATGAAGTTTAAATCATGAAGTCATTTCTTAGTTGCTTAACTAATGACAGACCATTAACAGTTGACAGTGTGACCTCATGGCCAATAGCATTCCTAGTTTAACTGAAAAGCAAGAAATGTAAACAAAACCCTTCTATTTTCTCGAAAGAGTTTCCTCACAATATTTGTATTCAAGGACATAAACATTTGTGTTCCTCCCCCTCCTGCCCACGCTTTTTCATTTATTTTTACTTTTTTTTTTTTTTTTTACGAATCCGTTTTTTCAGAACAACTTTTGTTTTTT